TAAGTGGAAGTCGATTGCGGGGGCGCATCCCTCAGACGGAATTGATTGAAGCCCCAATACTTTATGGACTTTAGACTTTATGAATTACTATTTATCAAACCCCACATCCCCACCTGGGAGGGGGCGAATGGACGAATGGGCGAATGGAGAAGGGCTAGGGGAGAAGCAAGGTCAAGAGTTGGGTGGAGGCTACAGTTACAATCACCCTCAAACACGAGTAGTCTTTGTAACCTGTGGATGTACCGTTGTACCGTTCTCCCTCCCACTTCCTTCTCAGATGAATATCGATTTCGAGTTTTTTTAATTTTCTCCTACCTATCTTCTATTCAATGGACCACTGCTGCATAAGTTATCGCCTTTCCTGGCAGATAACCAGAACTCGGTATTAATTAGGCCGAGCTATTTTCGGCATTCGCTTTTCCCGGGAATGATTTTTTTTTGTGTCCAAGAGGAGAACAGTCGGCTCTGCATAGCGTTGCTACTGTTATTTTTAGCTCACGGATTGACCTTTACGTGTGTTTAGCTGTTCGGAGAATGTAATGGAATGTTGCAAGTGCAAAAATTGTTGTTCTTTCGTCAGCTGTTCTATGAGAGGGTGCTGAAAAACCTTAAAAGAGACCTCAAAAAATTCATTGTGAATGAGAATCCCTAAAAAAACCAAAAAAGGTTCCTTTCACGGAGTTCACAGTACGTCATGAGATCACAGAATAAAATTTGCATAGAAAATTTCAAAATTGAATCCAGTTCATACTCTCATGGCGACAACTCGACCTCGATTTCACCACCTGATTCTCAAATTGCCATGGAAGAGTCAGGAACGAGGAGTGAAGGAACTTCTGACTAACGTTTCACGTCGTCCGATGTCAGCCGCTCATCAATTGGCATCGACGGCTCTGGAGGATTCTGATATCAAACCTAACTATTACGCGAGGCCATCGCTACTCGACCTCGATTCCACCACCTGATTCTCAAATTGCCATGGAAGAGTCAGGAACGAGGAGTGAAGGAACTTCTGACTAACGTTTCACGTCGTCCGATGTCAGCCGCTCATCAATTGGCATCGACGGCTCTGGAGGATTCTGATATCAAACCTAACTATTACGCGAGGCCATCGCTCCTAC